TCCGTTATTCCGATGTTATGTCCAACTGAAGCAAAACACCTGCAAAAACTTTTACCTTTCTTAGTTTTATCCTTGCCTGGCAAAACATCATGTTGTAAATCGTATTAAAACAATAGATAAGAACCATAGTAAAAAAATATTTAAAACTTTTTTATAAGCAGTCAGTTATGTAATAAACTGAAGGGAAAAAACACACAAAAAAACATAAAACTTTAAATGGAAATAGTGCCTTATAGCAATTTACAAGATCTTGTCTTTGAGTGTTAAGTACATGGAACAATTTATGAAGTTGATTGATTGTTGTTTGCTTTACGTCCAGTGGTAAATATGTCATGCATGTTCATGACTATAACACATAAAGTCTTTAAATACAATACTCAATAGGTAGGTCGTGCAATAGGAGGTCGACAGTGAAGTTGGACGTGAAACTTTAAAATACCACTGGAAAATGAGGGTATATTGAATTAGGACAGAAATTTAGACTTGCAACAGCTGGCCACATTCGGACCACTAAAATAATTTGCGCGAGAGTTTTCAATTTGCCGAGAGCGTTGATCCATGAAATCTACACTAAAGTCGATCATCGATGTTTACGTGTAGTGTACAATATCATTTCACGCATTTAATTTAGGTTAGATACTTTTAGCTCGCTTTAGTAACTGTGAGAAGTGTGTGAAACTTTATTGATTTTTCTACTTGAGGTTTTGGTATATTATGTACTACCGCTCTACTGGTTGGTCTCATGTGAAGGTGTTCCCCTCGAGAGCGGGAGGTCGTTTGTTCGAATTCTGACCGGGCCAAACAAAGACGTTAAATTAGTATTGGCTATTTCAACGCTTAACACGTGACATCACAGAGTAGGAGCACAGACTGGTCGGCTCAGAGTCGGAAATGTGTCCGGGTCGGGTGACTTTTCTTCCTGCGAACTAATATCTTGGGAACTTACGTGTAAAACACCGACTCAGAGTGTCAGTCTAGTAAAAAGCGGGGTTAATAGTCGTATTGTATTTACATGTTATCGTCCTGAATATTCTTTTTATTTACCGCTGGTCGTCATCCATTATCATCATTTATTTTACCGTTTTATTATACAGTGAAGTGTTTTTCTTCTGCTGGTTTATATTACAACTTCTTTAATTTTCACCGATCAAAACTAAAATAGGGCAGGTGAAATTTTTCAACCAGAGACTAGTGGTTGTTGGGATATCTTTGACGGTAAATAGTAATAAATCAAATGTGACTTTTGGGATATATAATATTTGACGGTAATTATTACTGAGTTAACTCCGTATAACTATTATTAAGTCAGTCATTAGGCGGTTTTCACTGATTATTTTTCTGTATACGGATCATTCTATAAAAAAAAGACTGAAAATTGACTATAAATGTTTTGATATGTCTGTGTATTTGTGTTGCTCTCGCATTAATGTACAGTATATCTTTATCACCTTTTATTCAAAATCAAATGATTCACTTGGGTATAGAAATATTGACATCTCGAGACCTCTCCCGTCCCATAGCTATACCCTTGCTAAATGGGTGCGTTCGTTTGGCTTATCGGATATATAAATATGCAGTTTTGTCCAATCGAAATAGGAATGTAAATTCGATTCCTGGTGTAGTGAGGATTTCACGCTATCTATACGTTAAAAAATCATTAGGGGGAAAACGATCTATGCACGAGTTGAATGATCGAAATGTGTAATCAACAAGAAAGGTCAACTAAATCTTTTCAAATAAGTCGCATGGCTGATTTAAACACATTTTTTGCGACTTTTGCTACGACAATTGTAGATGAAAAAAAACATATAACGAAACCAATTAGCGAAACAATATCTAAAAGATTAATAAATGAAACGCCCAAAATAAGTTGAATCCTTTAATAAATTGTTGTCAACATTTTTTTATCCATTTTTGCTTTTATGGCAACTATTATACCAGTTTGAGATATTAATAAACTTAAAACAGCAAATGTTGACACGTAGACGAGACAGCCGTCATTGTTCGCTTCAATATATGAGTTATTGGCACTCGATGAAGATCGTTTTTCTGTTCTTATCCCCTCTCCTATTAGTTTTGCTAAAGGATACAATGTAACCCCTGATGTGTACCACGGCAACGTTTTTGTAATGTTTAAAAAAAAGATTAAATGCAAAGAGAAAAATGATGGAAGAAAGGTTTACTCTTAAAAATTCATACTTAAATAAAAATGAAATATAAAAATTGAAAAACTGTTTAAGACGATTATTTATTGATTTATTGATTGTTGGTTGCTTAACGTCCAGTGGCAAATATTTCATGAATGTTCAGGACGAAAACAAGTTAACAATAAATACAATAGGTAGGTTTTGTAATAATAGAGGCCATCTGGGATGATGGTCGGGTAAATTTGGACTGCAACTGGACAATGAGGATATATTGGATATGCATGGGCAGAAATTTTGCCTTGCAACAGGCCACCTATGGACCCCTCAAAGAGTTGTTGCAAGGGTTCTTAACGTGCAAAGAGCGTGGCACTTTCTGTACACGAGGCATTGGAATTAACATCCCCAATCTGACCGGACGTGGCTGCAAACTTGATACATCCCGCACAGTCAAACGGACGCCCCACTTTAGCAAGCATTTTACTGCCGGTCGGAAAAAGACCAAGTGACCATACTTCTATTCCCCAGTCACCCTTGGGTAACGATTATTTACTGAAACCAAATGATGATACGTTACTAAATGAAGCTGATTAATTAATTGCTCCTTTGATGTCCAGTGGCAAATATGTCCTGCATATTTACGACGAGATGCAAAGTGGATCAACCTGAGGCAAATGATTACAATTTTAAAGTGGCACTTTTCACAATAAGGCAGAGCATTTGCTAGAAGTAAAACGTATGTCGTAATAGAATACAGTTGAATCATGATCGAAGTCGTAAGCTTAGCCCTCCTTCCTTCTTTTTTCTCAACGGTAGACGAATGCCAAAAAACAAAACGTCATGAATTTACAAATAATAACGGCCACTATAAGTAAATGAGATATGGACTTTTTTATTTAAATAAATTCCTATATTGCAGCCAACATCTCTCGGTTCGGGACAGGTTAGTATTTCCACCGATTGATTATTGAATGGAGATATTAAAGCAACCAAAAACACTTTGAATCAAAAATTTTCTAAAATGGTAAATTATGGTATTTTGCTGGGTGTTATTTCCCGATCATATATCGGACACCCTGATTTTAAGAGGACGTATCTAATTAGTCATGCCCGATTAACTTTTAGTAAATTGAACCTCAACTTAAAGACCTACACCGGGAATTTAAGTTCGAGGTACAATAAGACAATAGAAATCCTTTGTGAAATGAGATCGTCCCAGGTATCTTAGATAATTATTTTGTGTTGAATAACAATGAAAAATGCACAAGCAGGTTTGTAACTCTGACATACAATATAAAATAGATCAATTTATGTTCACGATAACCCTTTTTTTACTTATTGATCTAAATGAATAGTTGAATAAAGCTAACTGTAAATAACGATTCTTCAAAATTGAAACTTATTTTTGGCAACATTTTGTACACCTTTTTTTCAAAAATATCTGAATAGAGAAATCTTAAATCAGTATTTTGAGCTTAGCTGCAGAGTTGTAAAATATGACATGCTCACCAATTCTTGATTACATTTCATATCTAATGTAATAAATACACGCCTCTTGTCGTTGCTTATCTCAACCTGTAGTCTTTATTTACCATACATCCTTATTGACCATAAAGTCCTGATGGAAGTGATAATTGGGTAACCTTTATCCCGATTAAGGATACAATATGCTCAAATAAACGTTAACGATTTATAGATTATAACATGCCCTTTTCCATATTGACCCTGGTATCATCCCGAGACTCCCATATCAGCCCGAGGCTTAAGCCGAGGCCGATATGGTCGAGAGATGATACTCGGGCCAATATGGAACAGACATGTTATAATCTATTTATCACATATTTAAGTTCTGCAGAAAAGAGAAATGGCCATTGTAGTAGAATTCTCATAATTTTCAATACAGACACCGTCATTGTTCGCCCTTGTCGTTAAGAACGCAATGACGTCACGTCATTTGGAATCGGGGCACAATAACCAATAACCACTGTTTTGCCCCGGGCAGCAATATGAGAAGGACAATTTTGTGGTTATTACATAATTATGCAAAACCCAATGTTTTTGTAACAAATATGTGATAAAAATATTTACATCTATTTGACGCAAACAGTATCTGAAATGCAATTTGAAAAAATGACGATAAAAAAGGCTAAGACTAATTTAACAATGACCTTAGCAAAAAGAAAGGTTTTCACGATTGACAGTAAAGACCATTCCAACCCTCATGACAATCAAAATATTCAACGACCTCGACATATGTGCGGAGAACGAACATCTTGTTATGCTTGGATATGTAACAAGTGTGGACGAAAATGTGTTATTGAATATATTAGTTGAAATTAGGCTTTGGACTCGATTTCAGTAACTACGAAAACGCTTAGATCAGTACTAGGTGTCTTCTTTTCATTTACACTTGAATTAACAGTTCTTATGTTTTGAATCACTGTCCCATGTTAGGGAGAGGGTTGAGCGCTCTCGAACATATCTTAACCCGCAACATTCAGTATTTGCCTGTCCCAAGCCCAGAGTCTGTATTCCCATGGCTACGTTGGCTGCTATTTACCATAATTGTTCTCCATTAATTGTTGTAGTTTTCATCATGCTTTTGATTTTCCGTTTTAATTGTTGCACGTTTTTTATCTCTGGCCTTTCGTATCTCTTTATAACGTATAGGAGGTGCTCTGGGTTGAGAGGCGTACGTTAACCTACTATTAATCACGTTTTCGCGCCCTGTGGTCTGATATATTGCTGTCTCGTTGGTTAACGTATCACATCTTTTTATTTTTTTATTGATGTGTCTTTAATAGTAAAGTATGATTGGACAAATTTCATCCCTTCTGTTTTAATCAAAATACATACCTTGAAATATCTTGATTTTGATTATGTAAATTCCCAGGAACAAAGTGCAAATTACTTTCGGAACGGAATAAATCTTTTTGCTGCATATCGGATGCCTCTGAAATATTAGTGTCAATGAATTAGTGTTTATGTTATCAAAATATATCGAGAAATGTTATAAATGTATTGCATACTTCATATATATATGTAAAATGTTTAATGTAAAAAACCATGTAATAAAATATTTACAATCGCTTATATTGATAATCATACATAAGGTTTCAGCTTAAAATTGCAATTATTCTGTAATAATATTTTATAAAACATAACATTCAATCGGAATTTAAGTGAACTTCATTGTTTTCCTTCTCAATCAGATAATTAACAGAAAAATATTTCCAGATTTAAGTTGTTTGTTTAATTACCATCGTGTCAGTTATTTAACGTATTACATTTTTGTAGATCACTTTTTATAAAGTTATGCATGACAAGATTTTTTAATACTTTTCAGCATTGAAATATTTTGATACTATAATACTATGGATTGGTAATTTCTTGGAGCAGTTGTTTTCAAAGTACAATATGCGCTTTGCTGCCAAAATGTATTCCGTTTTACTAACTCTGTAAACACCTGTTATTGCATGACTTTTTGGAAATTCATGCAGAAACAAAGAGAATGTATACGTATACTGTATAACAGAATAATCATGGACAGTAATCCTTCTAACGGACATATCTTAAGGTATAGTTGTAATTATTGATCAATATGTTAAATTACTAGGCATTGTTTGGGTTTCTTAACGAGTACTGTCACTAGACGCCAAACTGAGAGAGTTCAAAAGATTAGCTACTGCTTCTGATGCATCCATTTTGATGGAATATCTTCTTTGAGAATAAAAATACTTTTATCAACACAACAATTTTATTTTTACAGAAAGTAAAATAAGGGAATGCACTATTAAACTATCAAACCCCCTCTTTCTTCCTTCGTCTATCTTAATATTTTTTCTTTCAATAATTTTTTTCGGCTTCATGTGTGTGCATGCATGTGGTGTCAATGGTAGCAACGCCACCGAATTATGAGTAATGAAAAAAGATTAATGTATGTAGGCCTCAATTATAAACTTATTTCCTAACATTAGCAAAAAATGCTTAGACCTATGCCTAGATGTAGTCCAGTATATATATTTATCCACAGGAAATTTTTTTTCGCTCCTATCAATATCGATGTAGGTGCAGAAAAATTACAAACAGTCATATACATGTACCTGGTATAATAACAGTGTATTGGAGAATATCCAATCATTATGAAGTTGACCGTAACCGAGGTACGTATATATACAATAATTAATTGTCTTTTGCAGGACCTCCTATTCATGTACATATATCTTAACCTGTATACAAGTATTGTTTAATGCTTCCCGATTTAAGTTAAGAAATTGTAAGCAGACAAGCAAGTTTACTTCATTAGCGGTGGACAAGATCTAGATCTTCTTTTTTCGAATTACTGTAGACCTATTGACAGGTCTGCTCCAGACATGATCAGCGGACAGGTCTGTTTTAGACCGATTCTGAGAATATGACAGCTTCTTACCAGACCTAAGGACAGGTCTGCGTATGACATATTTTAAAATCAGACCTGATCTTTGATTATATAAACGATAATCGTATTGTTATATTTTCCAGTAAAGCAAACTATAATACTCTTAACATTGTGTCTCTACATTCTCTACGTATACACATAAGAATTTAATCTACATTTTCATTTATTCTTGTATGAATTAGACAATGGTTATAACATTTCGAAGTTGTTGATCAACATATATAAACGTGCTGAGAAAGGACTTTTTGTTTGTTATTTGAAAGTGTATAAAAAAGTTTATTCAGCGCATTGGAAACTTAGTTTTATATGATGGAATAGTAAAAACATTTTTTATCTTGCTTCGTTTCCCATTTTTTTAGTCTCCCCTTAAACATATATTGCATGCATTACATTGATTTTTTCATCGTAAATCACTTTGTTTTCTTTACTTTACGATTAGACTATCGACAGCATGTCCAAACGAATGTTGAAAAGTGCCCGGACACATAAGGTGCAATAATTCTTCGATGAACTTTAAAACCTTCCCGTCAATTTCATAGAGTCATCACGACCAACTAAATATTTGTTTCATATTAAAATACAAATATGGTAAGTTTTGGAAGATGCGGTCAAATATTTTTGTCATACAAACCAGCCTGTAGTTCATGACTGTCATATTTGTGTTTCGTAAATTGTTTTGTTATAAATTATGCCGTTAGTTTTCTTAATTGATTGTTTCATATTTGTCATGTCGAGGCCCTTTAAAGCCGACTATACGGTATGAGTTTTCTCATTGTTGAAGGCCGTACGGATGCCTATAACTGCTTACATCCATTTCATTTTGACTTTGGTGAATAGATGTCTCATTGGCAATTATACCACATTCTCTTTATTTTTATACTGAGAAATGGAAACTACTGATTTTTAGTGACGCCTCAGTGTTTTGAAGAAAAATAGGAAATGTTATCACTCTTAATTGATGCAGACATTTTTTTTGTAGTCATTGTGTACCAATGTTGCTGTCATTTTCTATATACAGGCCATCATGAGTAAAAAATTTACTAATTTGATTTATTTTGTCATATAATGTTCTTACTAAACATTCAACACATATGGTCAGTTTTGGATGTTGCAATCAAATATTTTTGCTTTACAAACCATCATGAGATATGATTTGTAGTGACGGAAGAAAGAGGAACTGCTGGCACTTTAAATTGAAAGCGGGAAAATATTTGTAGTCATTGTGTTCCGATATTGCTGTCATTTGCATTATACAATCCATCAGGTGTAAAAAAAAAATACTGATTTAATTTAAAGCGCCATATAATTTTCATACTAAGGTACACTCATGGTCATTTTTGGATGATTTTTGTGTTACAAACCATAATGAGATATGACAACTACAGATTTTTAGTCACGATTCAGTAATCCTAACTAAAAGGGGAAATGCTGGCACTCTTAACTGATGTAGACAACATTTTGCAGTCATTGTGTACCAATTTTGCTATCAGTTGTATTATACGATCCATCCTGAGTATGAAAACTACTGATTTTTAGTGACGGCTTTGTAATTTGAATACAAAAGGAAATTGTGGCCCTCTAAATCAATGCGGACACACTTTTGTAGTTTTTGTGTACCAATATTACTGTCATTTGTATTATGCAATCCATCTTGAGAAACAAATTTAATGGTTTAATCTATGCCGCCATATAATTTATACTAAGGTACACTTAAGGTCAGTTTTGGATAATGTGGTCAGATATTTTTGTTATACAAACCATTCTAATATATGAAAACTACTGATTTTAAGTGACGGCTCGGTATTTTGGATAAAACGAGGAAGTGCTGGCACTTTAAATTAATATGGGCAAAATGATCAAGTCATTAACTATCACTTTTGCTGTTATTTGTATCATACTGAGTAACAAATTTACTATTTGAATTTATACCGCCATATATTTTGCATTCATAACTACACATATGGTCCGTTTTGGATGTTGTGGTTAAATATGTTTGCTATACAAACCATCCTGAAATATGAAAACTACTGATGTTTTGTGACGTCTGAGTATTTTGAATTTCGAAGTTAACTTAGTGCAGTGCTGGTTGCGAAGTTAACTTCAATAGCGGACATGTCTAAAGATAACTTTTTAGGCAGTTATAAAAACAGTCCTAGGAACCAAGTCTGCTTTTTAAGTTAACTTGATTTTGGTGCTTGGACCGGTCGAAACAGTCCTCAAACATGTCGAGGGTTAGCTTTGACCAGTCAAGGTGATGGTTATCAAGTTAAATTGCTGTACAAGTTAGGAATGCACCCATCGATATGTTTGTTAGCTGATGTTATAAAGGGCGGATGTTCATGAAGGGCCTGTATAAGAATGTATATCACTGGGCTGATATCTCTTCTCTGTCTAAGTGTATTATTTAAGTACTTTCCATTGAGCTCAGTTCTTTGTTATGCAAATGCATTCTTGGTGAAATAAAGATTTGAAAACAGATAACTTACATCTGCATATGAACTTTAAGGTACGATGAGTGAAACTGTCAGCACAAGGAACTATTAAAGCAGCATTCATGCGCATAGATGTACAAACATGTTTCGTCCAGATAGGCGAATAAAACACATTCAAATTTACCAAACAATGCTACTTGCATCATAAAATAAAATAACTAAATTACCAATCTCCAAAGAAAATTCGAAACGGAAAGTCCCTTATCAAATGGCAAAATCAAACGCTCAAACACATCAACTGTAATAATTCCAACTTGCTAAAAACATTTCATTATGTAGAAAACGGTGGATTAAACCTGGTTTTAAACACTACAAAAGTCAAAAAGTCTGAAAAGACCAGTTTTTGTCTGAATTTGCATGAATTTTTACTCGACATTCTTAATTTGTCTGAATAATTTTTAAAAATTCTTGACATAGAATGAATTTGTCTAATAAGGTTCTTGATTTTTCTTAAAAAGTGTCTTGACAGTATGAACATTGTCTTAAAGTTTCTCGACACTTCCTGTATCATCTGATAAGAGTTTGGATTTGTCTCGACCAATTCTTGACTGTCTTAAATTTGTCTCGATCTGTCTTGACATATTCTTGACATTCTTAATAATGTCTGAATATGTCTCGACATATTCTTGACATTCTAAATAATGTCTGAATATGTCTCGACACATTCTTGACAGTCTTAAATATGTCTTGACACTATCTCAACAGTATAAAATTCGCCTGAAATGTGAACAGACTTATTCTGCACTGTTTATGACATTATATTGCTGTTGTATACTCCTTTTTATTATGGCTAAACTAAACTTTGAAGAATCAAGGATTAATTTGGTATAGTAAGATACCCTTTTGGTGCAACTAAGTTGGAATACCCTGAATAATCCCCCATGTAGTTTAATTTTGATTTATTTTTTATTAAACATTTAAGTAATTGTTTTCACTTGGAATATAAGTCGAAGGTATTGACAAACAGCATTTAGATTTTTGCCGTTCGCAAAACTGCCAGTCAAATTTGCTTTACTAAAATAGGTGTCTTGTATCTCTTTTGGACCCCAAAATTCATCTTTTGGGTGTGTGTGGCTAAAAAAGAGGGGGGGGGGGGGGGCTTTCGTTTTGGTCAAAGAATTTGTTCCCATCTTGATTCAAAAACCTTATTCATTTTTTAGAACAACCCAAAAACATTTTTTATTCAAATTTGAGTGTTGAATTTTATAGAAATCATTGATGGGACCCATTATAAATACATTTTTTTTTATTCCTGGAGTAGATAATAATTTTCTTTTAATCTTTGGGAATAATTCAATTTGTTTTCATGTTAAAACAATTAACTTCATAATTTTGGTGAAGAAAATCCATTTCAATTCAATTTTTTTTCATCAAAATGATGA